TGAAAAAGTAATCGGTGATTAATCGATTATAAAAATAATCGTTTGTGGCAGCCCTAATGTCTAACCATAAATTACATGAACGTGGTCCTTTTTTAAAATAAACACCGATATTTTTAATGAACTGGATTAAAGTAAATTTAGGAATGTTTGTGGAACAAAAATGTATTAAAATGATTTTTGTTTTCTGTTTTTATTTGTCTAAATAAGTATTTTGATTGTTTTCCAGAAAACAGAAAATGAATACCAGTAGTTTTTCACACTTTTACCTTTTGTAGGTGACACGGTGAAGATCGGAGAGATTATTTACAAACTCAAAACACCGCAGAATCCAGAACTTGTTCCTGTCAAATACCGTACGTATTTAACTTTAAATATACTTGAATACTGCGTGATACGTGAGATATGCTGGTGTAAGATGACTTTCTTGTCTGGGGTTCCTAGTTTCAGAGTCGCTGCCACAGACAGTGGCTCAGCACCTGCGATGGATCATGCAAAAAGACCTTTTAGGCCAAGATGTGTTTCTCATCGGACCCCCAGGACCCCTGAGACGATCCATAGCAATGCAGTACCTTGTGAGTGTTGACATTTCACTCACACAGACACACACATAGGAACACATACACCAAATGTTAATTATTTGTTGAAGAAATTACCATTTTTATACACAGTGAATTAATAATTCACCAGTGCAAATAAAAGTTTGGACAAASCTCTTTATTCAGGACATGCTTTAAGGTTAAAACATAAGATTTGCACTTAATACAACATGGCAGCTTCTGTAAAATGGTTTCATGCTGGTTTAACTTCTTCAAAGTTTCTAAATTCAAGTTTAATCTCTGAGGAATATTCTAGAAAGATGTCCTACAGCCCTGCTCACATTTCCCCCCAAGCCTACTTGGACCTGTTTCTGGACTAGCTGTTGTTTTTATTGCCCCAGGTCTTGCTGACCTGGGTTACCAGGAAGTAGCTCAAGCATGCTCTTTCTATTGCAGAGACCCTCTGCAGCTTTGTKTACCTTCAGTTTTCTTTCTGTCCTCACCTGGATGCCAGCTGGTAACACCTTACGGCAGGGGCTTCTCTTGTGTGTGAAACCTTGAACTGTGAGTCCACTGAAGGGTACGATGGGGTAAAAAGGATTTAGTCAGCCACCAGTGGTTCAAGTTCTCCCACTTAAAAAGATGAGAGAGGCCTGTAACTGACATCATACCTCAACTATGAGAGACAAAATGAGAARACATATCTAGAAAATMACATCACAATAAGTTAATTGCAAATTATGGTGAAAACAAGTATTTGGTCAATAACAAAAGTTAATCTCAATACTTGGTTATACAGTATATCCTTGGTTGTCAATGACAGAGATCAAAGGTTTTCTGTAACTGTAACTTTCACAAGGTTGGCACACACTGTTGCTGGTATGTTGGCTCATTCCTTCATGCAGATCTCCTCTAGAGCAGTGATGTTTTGGGCTTTCGCTGGACAACTCGGACTTTCAACTCCCTCCAAAGGTTTTCTATGAGGTTGAGATCTGGAGACTGGCTAGACCAGTCCAGGGGTCTCCTTTATAAAGGA